TATCTTCAATCACTCTCTGGCCTCAGGCATATTTGTTGCTGACTGGAAACAAACGTCTGTAACCCCTATCTTTAAAAATGGGAACAAAAATGATGTCCGCAACTACAGACCGATATCAAAGCTATCTTCTGTCTCCAAATTATTTGCTATTGTTGTAAACTGTAAACTGTCTTTTGCTGTTAAAAACCTAATTTCTACTAACCAGCACTACTTAACAGCCACAAACCTAGCTATTTTCAGTGATTACTGCTTATCTGCTTTTGAAAACAAGGCTCAGGTGGATACCATCTACACTGACTTCTCGAAAGCTTTGGACAAGGTATCACATCGTTTACTCCTGCTGAAGCTGACCTCTTTTGGATTTCATTCAACATTTTTGTCTTGGGTTAAATCCTACTTAACTGATAGGCGCTGCTTTGCAGTAGTCGATAATGCAACTTCACAACCGTTCATCGCGTCCTCGGGTGTCCCTCAAGCATCCTCGGGCCCCCTATTTTTTGTAAGTTTCATCAACGATACCAGTTCTTGTTTCAAATTTGCTAATTACCTACTATATGCTGATGACAAAATATTTGCAACTATAAAGATCCTTATGACTCAGCCAACCTGAAATCAGACCTGCTGCAAAAATCAATTGACGCTGAATATCAGCAAATGCTTTCATGTATCTTACAATAGACATATCAATACTTTGCATACATCATATTCTATCGCTGACAGTTTGCAATCTGTGACCCAAATGAAGGACCTTGGTGTTGTCTTTGACTCCAAACTTCCATTCAATAGTCATGTCGATTACATTCTTTCGAGCTCATACTCGATGTTAGCTTTTATCCTCCGAAACTGTCAGGCGTTTATGAACCCTTACACTCTTATAGCGTTCTCTTTCCTCGAAATAATGTTACATTTATTCAGCCCTGCGTCAGGGCTGTCAAGTTTTCGTGCTCTTTTCGTAGTATCTTCATATGCATATTGTGGGCTCTTTCTTTAAAATGTTGCACTCTGATAATGTTCCCATATAAGAAGGTGGCATCTTTTTCGAGAAAAGAAAACGCCATTAAAACACTCTTCTGTGCACTAGTCAGGTCAAGAGTGGAGTATGCAAGGTTTACTTGGAGGCCTTACACTAAAATTCTATCTAACCGATTAGAACGTGTTAAAAAAGTTTTTATAAAATTTGCTCCTTGTTCCTTAAATTTTTCTTTGCCACTACCTTCTTACTATTCTCGCTGCCAACTAATCAACCTTACAACACTGGATAACAGAAGATCCATTTTAGCTGCACGTTTGTCGTTAACATCATAACTGGCTCAATTGACTGCCCTTCTCTTCTAGAAAAGATTGCCTTTAATATTCCCTCAAGAATCCTCCGCCATCGGGATTTTATTAAAATAGGCATCTCTAGAAGGAGTTATGGTGCCCATGCTCCGATCTCTAGAACCTGTGCTGAACTCAACCTAGTCTTCAATGCTTTATACGTTGATTTCACACAATCAGGCCCTGCCTTAGTCACACATCTGCGAACTTTCTTCTCTGCGCTGCACCACTACCGATGTATTTAATCTTAGCTCTTAATGTAGCACTTAATTAGTGTTAGCTGAGGAGTCTGTAAGAATAATCTGTATTCCAAGACTGAAATAAATAAAAAAATTATTAAATTAAAAGTCTAACATTGGGCGGGACGAAGTTCGCCGGGTCTGCTAGTACTTCATAATTTTGGCATCAAAAGAAAGTGTACAAATTGATTTCAAGTGTTTGTAAGATAACGGACACCGAAAGTAGCCGTTATACCGTCGCCTGCTATTGTGTTTGTTTTCGAAAGGCACCTTGAATGAATAATTTGAAGTGTTTGCTTACAGCGCTCTTGCACGATGTGTATTTGCATATCGAGGGCTTATATTAAATTTTGATGGTAACGTGAGCTCCGAGTAATCTTTCAGCCATCACAATAATGTCAATCTTAAAATATAGCTTTAATGGTATTATATTCTCATTCGCGAATTGAGGGCGAAATTCTCTATCTACACAATTTTGCCGGAAAATTTGTTATGTATATGTTACCGGTAAAATCCGATCTTAGGTCAAACTAGTTTAGCCAGTAAGGTTGAGTCTCCTTGCATGCGCAGAACGAGACTGCGGTTCGGAGATGATGGGAGTGCAAAGGCGAGGTGATATGGCCCTCAAGCCCCCTGAAATCATTCTCGTAAAGCTGCGCTGAGCCTAGGGAGGAGTTCAACCTACCGTCTGGTTTTCTTAGTGAGTCTTCACGTCGATGGTTGTCGCGATAGGGCGAGCTCGTTCTGCCCTCCAGCCCTCCGCGCGTGTCTTCCCGTCGTTGGTTGTCGCGGGGTGTTGAGGTCAGCCTTCCCACAATCCTCGTGTGTTGGGATTGGGAATCCACTTGCTGCGTGGCGAGTGGAGGCCAGGTCGTACTGCCTTCTAACCTCCTGTGTGTGGGCAGTTGGCGTTGGTCGTCGCGGTAGGGCGAGGTTCCTCTACCCTCTAGCCCTCCGCGCGCATCCTCCCGTTGCTAAAAGTGGCTATATGTTGAGGTCGGCCTGCCCTCAATCATTGAGTGCTGGGACTCCATCTGCTGCGTGTCGGGAGGAGGCGAAGTCGTCTTGCCCTCTAGTCTCCTGTGCGTGAGCTGTTGACGCTGGTTGCTGCGGTGGGGCGAGGTCGTTTTATCCTCAAGCCCTTTATGCGAAATGTCTCTAGTTAGTTTCCTATAGTTGATGCCTCGGTGGTAGGATGGCCGTTTGCGCTGGGAACCCGCAGTGAGGTTGGCCTCCGAACTGCTATCTGAGTCGCTTCTTGGGTGTCTGCGTCCTCCCGTTCTCTTGCCTGTTAGTGAAAGATCGCTTCCTTCAGGCCGTTTGTCAGCGATTCTCTCGGCGGGTGTGTGCCGTGTGTTGATGGTAGGGTGCTCGTTAGTGGACCGAGTCTCATTCTCCTCGGTACTCCGCCGATCTTTACCCTCTGTTTGGTGCTTCAGGCTTATGCTAGTGCTCGTCTCATCTACATTGGTGGGAGGCTTTGCCTCTTTCGTTTGGCCTGGTTTGCCCCTACTGGATGAGGGACGGTCATCGTCTCGGGCGTATTCTGCGAACAGCTCCGCTTCTTCTGGGGTTTAGTTTATCAGGCTGTCCAGCCATCTTACATTGAAGCTTATCCGCTCAAGAAGAGTCGGACAGTCAATTAAACCATTAATGACATCATAGATATACATTATAGATTGAATGGTTCTCCTACTCGCAAGGCATTTCAAGTCGATGAGCAAACAACGGGCATTGTAAGAAGGGACAGGGTCACTAAAGTGAAGCGATTGAAGAGCAAAACGAATGAAGTTCCGTTGAACTCTCTCAATTCTATCAGAGTGTGAGTTGTAAAATGGATTCCATATAATAGATGCGTACTCCAGTTTTGAACGGACTAAAGAGCTAAATAGCAACTTTCTAGTATAAGGATCCTTAAAGTCTTTCGCGTAGCGTTTGAGGAATGCTAATTTGGAGCAAGCTTAAGGAATCACACAATTCACATGATTTATGAATGTAAAACCCGAATCAAATAAAACCCCTAAATCCAAAAATTCCTCAACTATGGAAACTTTGGAATTTAAGACCGAATAACTTGAACTGATACGATTATGAGATTTTGAGAGAGTCATATGGAAACATTTTTTAATATTGAGCGATAGTTTATTTCTCTTGCTCCACTCAGCTAGATTATTTAAATCATTTTGCAATGAAGAAACATCGGACAGACACGTAATCTTCCTATAAAGCTTCAGGTCATCCGCGTAAAGTAAAAATTTGGACTGATTAAAACAGGATCCAATGGCCCGTAGTCATAGTCAAAATAAAGTCGACTTTAAAGTTAGTTGCAGCTTTTTGACATAATTTTCAATGGGATATCTGTCAAAAAAGCTGCAACTAACTTTAAAGTCGACTTTATTTTGACTATGACTACGGGCCAATATCATTAATAAACAGAACGAATAAGATTGGACCTACAATACTACCTTGGGGTACGCCTGAAGTAGCGACAAATGAATAAGATTTAGTGTTCTCAATTTCTACAAAAGATAGTCTATTGGAGAGATATGAACGGAGCCATGCTAGAATGGATGAGTGGAAGCACAAACATTCGAGCTTATGTAGTAAAATTTTGTGTGTGACTGTGTCAAATGCTTCAGAAAAATCAGTGTAGATGGTATCCACCTGATAACCGCACTTAAATGTTGAAATGCAATACTCAGAGAAAACTGCCAAATTGGTAACTGTAGAGCGTCCAGAGATAAAGCCATGTTGATTGTGATCAATTATTCCTTTTATTGCAAATGATAATTTCTCTTTAACCACTTTTTCAAAAAGTTTTGAGAAAATTGTTTATTTAGATATTGGCTTATAATTTCTAACGTAATTTTTGCTCCCTGATTTAAAAGTTGGAGTAATTGAAGTAATTTTCCACTGATCTAACAAAACACCAGATGACAGGGAAAGATTAATGATGAAAGTTAAGGGCATGCAAAGCGAATAGTTACATTTCTTAAGAAAGAAAGATGAGAGCCCATCAAGGTCACTTTTTAGTGAAGATTCTAGGGCGGAGATGCCCTTGATAACATCTGACTGTGTCACCGTCATAGCCTCAAAGTCTATCATCTGTGAGCCAGTAGCTAAAGTTGACATATCGAAGTTTAGAAAGTCACTAACAAAATTGGATTTAAAATAGTCAGCAAAAAGATTTACTGAGCCCGATATGCAGTTATCATTAAAATTCATACACACTGGGATATTCGAGCACCCTTTTTTCGAACGAATATAATTCCAGAAGGCTTTGGGGTTAACCTTTAGCTCATCTTCATAACGGGAGATGTAGCTATTATACAAATATTTATCAAGTTCATTAAATTCATTCATAAACCAGGTATACTTATCCTTATAAATGATATTATTGGTGGCTTTGAATAATTTAAAATACTTATTTCTTTTATTTTTTAGCCTCTTCAGCTTTTTAGTGTACCAGGGTAGCTTATTCAAACGCACAGGAAGTAAAGAAAGATTACTTTTTAAGACAGTATAGATATTACGTAAAAAAGCTTCATAACATTCCGTGAGATTTTTTAAATGAAAAACAGAATACCAATCAACTTCGTAGATGATTGAGTTTAAGGCGTCAAAATTAGCATCACGAAAAAGAACGGGGACCACTAATACTAGTGGGAATAAAATTACAAAATTGAAGAGACAAAGATAGGGGAACATGATGCGTATCAGATCTGCAAATAGAAAAATAGCATTCATCTAACTGAAAGATCAGGTTCTCATCAACAAAAATTAGGTCCAAGATATTGCCAAGCATATTATGAAAAGAATTAATTTGAGTAAGATTAAGACTGAGAAGGCTATCTAAAAAGTTTATTTCAAATAAGTACCTTACATTGGAAGGAGTTAGAACATTATTATTTAGCAAGTTAGACCAAGCGATCTTATTCAGATTGAAATCTCCTAAAATGCAGAAATTACTGTCTCCATTCTTGTCATAGATATCAAGAAGGTTATTGACATGAGCGGCATATAAAGATTCTGAGCTACTAGGTGGGATATAGGACACACAAATAAGCAATTTACCGAAGGTGCCAAAAGTACAGACACAGAGTTGGTCAAGTAAGGAGTCGTCATCCATAAGTTGAAAGACTGAAGATCTTAAGGTACGCCTAATCGCGATTAGGACGCCTCCGCATCTATTGCATCCCGGTTTTTTCAGAATCTCGGTCCTTGCGGTATGTTTGAAACAAAACCGGGTCAAAAAATTCCGCATCAAGAAAGTCATTATTGAGCCAAGTTTCAACTAAGACACACACATCAAATTCACAACGCGATGTGAATAAAAATACTTCTCTCGCTTCTGTTCGCATACCCGAGATATTTTGATAATAAAGTCTTAAACTTAGATTATTAGAGATCCTATGAGAAGAATTAATATTAGACTTAATACTATGATCCGTTCTGATCCTTTGGAAAAAAGCGAAATGGCCGAACACTAATACCTGCCGGCCAAAGATTGAGGCCAAGTTTATAGTTGATGTGCTGAATATCATCAAGCGAAGTCTCTTTCTTCAGAAGTTAAAAGCAGGATAAAAAGTTACTTGCAATACCGGAGTGCTTTCCAACATAAGAAATTATATTTTCAGCGGAAACTGACGGTTTAAATGAAGATAAATGAACCCATTTCTTTTTGACAATAACACCAAGCTCAGTAGACACATTCCGCCCGGCAACTACATTTTTTCGCTTAGAAGCATTCTTATTAGGCACAGTAGCCCCATTGGTGAGATCACAAGCAGAGTCAAAAATAGTGTGATTGTTAGGAGAGGCCGAAGCGCCAGCAGACCCATGAAGAGTATCAACAGTCCCAGGAGAGGATGTAACTAAATTCGATGTTAACGCAGCAGAATGAGTATTAGCGTACCTGAAAACGTTAGAAGCAGCATCACGCACACTCAAAGTGGGAATAGTAGTAGACGACAACGGAGCAGAGCCAGCGAGCGAAGCAGCAGCGGGAGCGGCGCAATTGCGCACCGCCGACGACGTAGGCACATTAGTAGATGCAGGCGCACCAGACGGCACTAATAAATTATTTCCGAGCGTTGTTTTATTGGCAAGTGTAGTGGTACAGCTGACGCCAGTCAACACAGCATCCGCGGCGCTGGAAGCAGCAACGAACGAATACGTAGGTGGGGTGACATGCGATGATGACGAACAATTATTATTATCTGCACTTACTTTATAAGTGGGAGCATTATCACAATTCCTTTTGGCGATAGCGGCCATAACATAGCCATGCAAATCTTTGACCTCTACTGTCAGTAGAGCAATCGCTTCGTCTTTTTTGATTATACTTCGCTGCATAGAGAGAATATCTTCGTGCATGCAATCCAATTTTTTCTGTATTTTGTTGTTATCACCATGCAAATTGGAGATTAAGTTCATCAATCGTGAATTCTCTGCACAGAGTAAATCAATCGAATTGCAAATAGACGACAAAGATAATTGTTGTTTATTGCCCTTGTCATTTAAAATAGCTGTCGGCTTCGGCAAAGCAGAAGATTTTGACTTCACAGCGAGCGGATTGAATTCCGACGAGCAGTAGCACATACTTTGCAGAAAAAACTCTTATTCTCGCTAAGCATAAATTCAACGTCTGACGGCAGAATACCAACACAATCCGTATGGAAGAAATTATTGCAATTCGCGCATTGAACTTTGGACTGCGTGCTGCGATCCACCTTTTGACCGCACAAACAAGGCATTTTTGGATAAATTTATTATTTTCAAATGAAAAACAGTAAAGAGTCACTGTCTCACTAAATTTTTATGTTTGCACCATTGTAAAGAGAGCAAAAATAAACAAGGTAATTTGAGAAATATCAGAGCGAGTAAAAAAAAAAGTCTTAACACCACAACGTCAACTGCTTTTAAGCAGCTTGTCATAATGTAAGATTAAGCTTACTTGCTAGACTAAATATTATAAAGTTCTTATAATCCAAGTATTTTTTAGTTCATATAACTACTATAATATGTTATTAGTGTTTTTAGAGTTTGGATAGCTATTGCATTAGCATGAAAGCGCGACTAATGCAATAGGAGCCTTGGTTTGTAAAGCGAGGCTCAAAACTCGGCAGACGAGCAATTAATGCCCTTTTTTGAGTTCAGTAAAATAACAAGACAAGCAAGTTCAAGTATAAAACTGAATCTGACTTTTTATTATAAATTTTCCAACTTATATCCTAATTTACAAATTATCTAGAAATTATCTGACACATCTTGCATTTCATTCATATGTCCAAAATGCCCTATGTAACATGGTGTTCTGCTTTTTGTTCATGTTACAAATGCATTTACTTATCTATTGACCAATCAGTATTTA